TGAGGAGCGGCACTCGAACCGTATGATCTTTGCGTTGCCGCGGACTGCGAAAGTGTCGCTGGCGTTCGAGTTGCTGGAGAGGCATCGCCGGTCTCTTGGGCTGAGCGACTATCAGGTCTCACAGACGTCGATCGAGCAAGTGTTTCTGCGCATAAGCGCGGAGGCAGAGCGTGCGCATGAGGAGGAAGGGGTGGAAGAGCAAAGAAGGAAGGACTGCCGTTTGGGCTGCTGCAGCTGCTGCTGAGAGTCATCTTGTGAAAGTTGGCTTTGTGCTAGTGAATGACATCCATTGTTGCGGCGTGTGTTCGCTGTTTATACAAAGGGGAGGGGCGATCGGGATGTGTCTTCCAAGCGAAGGAACACCGCTTGACAGTGCTTCTCCAAACGGGAAAACCGTGAGAGACCTTTTTTACGCCTTGACGCCAAATGAGGGGTCGCCTCATTTGGCAGTGTATTTCTTTTTCTGTTTTTTTTTTCTCCATTATCTGCCTCTTGTGTACTTTTGGTTTAAGTGAAGATAATTGGTTCGTTGACCAATCCATATATATTTGTTGCCGACGTTGTTGATGCTATGGTATTTCTTTCCCACAATTGTTTTGTTGTATTGCTTCCACTTCTCACGTTCTTTTTTCCTCCTCGTCATTCGAAAGGGGTAGGCTGCCATTGTGCACAATGTGCTCCTTTTCTCAGTCTTGCTCTCAGTGAAGCTGAGCGTTGAGTTTGGCTGATGTGAAGACTGACGGGTACACTGCTGCAACAATACTGGTGCCCCGCATTTGCTTCTGTGTGTGGGTGTGCGCTCCGAAGAGTGCCGTTGCTTAAACAAGCCCTTTGCTCTGTGAGCGGCGACTTGCGTGGTTTTTTTAATTGCTTTTTTTCTCTTTAGATTCAGTCTGTTGAGGAAAAAGACCAAGACTGTGTGCAACTCAGAAGGGAGGCACGTATAATTCTCGCTTCCACATGTCTTCTCTCAATAGCCGTTGGGCTTTTAAACGGTCCTCTTTGGTGGGAATTCCGCCGGTCGCGGGTAGCACGATTTCTCGGAATGACGCACTGAATGCCAACCGTAGAAATATTAGGCGTTGTGAGACAGGCCTTACTCCTCGGGTCCAGGTGGGGGGGGCATCCACCGCGTTCTCTACGCACGCTGTGCTGGAGTCGTCGTTCAAGGATCAGTTTCTGGCGGTCGTTGAGCGAGTGTTTCGCCAGAGTATGCGGCAGAAGGTTGAACTTCTTTTGGAGTTGTTGGTCCCGCTTATCTTCGTCGCCGTAACCGTGATTCTGTGGTCTTTGTGGGGCACAGAATATTTCGACGAGGTAAATTATATTCACTATTCCGACCTCTCCGTGTGGCTTGACCCGGCGCTGTACAAGACGTACGTGTGCTCCAAGGCGGAAGGCGGGGTGCCTGGGCTGAAGACTTGCATTCCTAATTCCAAGTTGGACTGCTCTGGGGACGAGAGTACGTTGCCGTATAAAGGCATCTGTGTTTATGAAACTCTTGGTATACCAGCCCTGGTGCAGGGTTTTCTGAATTCCCTCACTGGCTACCTCGGCATTATTCCGACACTTGATTCCCTTATTATGTTCCAGTGGCTGGCGCGCAAGCTCAACAAGGGAGGACCATCGATTTCTGGCTTATTTCCCAACACGCGTGAGTCCGCCATTCAATGCTCGGGCCTGCTGCACTTTGTCGGTGACCCTGGAACCATCAACGGCATCATAAATCATTTCAAGAAGGATTCCGTATACTTCGCCGATGTCGAAGGTAGTGTTTTTGCCACGCTGGAGGAGGCAGAGGAGGCGGCTCGGGAAAGTTCCAAGACTTGGGG